GATAGATTACCGTTCTGACAGCACGGAGAATGAACAGGGTAGGTGCCTCACTGGAGGCAGAAAAGCCAGCTAAGCATTATCTGTAGTTATCTAGATAGGGAATGTGGAAGAGGGATGCAGGTGAGAGGATGGACTAGGTTACTAATTAGAATGCAAAGGGGAAAAAAGTATTATTTAAAGGGAAGTTCAAAAGCAATTGGGCTTTTTCCACATACTATTTAAAAATCCACGACTAAAACCAGTAAGACTTAAAGAGAGAAACTTCAGTCCAATAAAAAGAACTTTTTAACAAAGTACCCCTTACTTGAAAAGCTGTCTATAATAAAATGACCTATCTTGCAAGGTATAAGCTCTCAAAGACTAGAACTAAAATTGTAGATAATATAAACTCTTCCAACTCCACGACTTTATAATTCTTTGAACGATATTTTTTGTCACAATCTTTTAAATCCAAAATATCAAAAAGCAAGCAATTCAGAGTTTTGCTTTTCATCTGATAAATTTGTTCCTATAATACCTGGATTCATCCTTGAAACTGAGGAGTGCCACTATTCGAGATACCTTAAGATCAGGAGGAAGCCATAACACAACTATTCCTCAAGAGTAGCCTCCTATAAGCTTTCAAGAACTAAGGGGAAAAGCTAATATAGCCAAGGAAAAGGTATAAAGATGAACTGTTTGTACTCAGTTTCAAATGCAAATGCTCTTTTGTGAAAATTTCAATTCTATAAAATAAAAATCAAACTCTTGATACATCCAGGCATATCTCATTTGATATGGCACCAATATATACTCTAGGACTCATACTCTAATCTCGAGACCCATTGTATCTTCAAATTATCTGATCTTACCATGTTTTCGTTGTCCCTCACTCCTCACCCCCATACTGTCAATTCTCTACTTATCCAGTTTAAATTCCTATCTGTCAATTATTACAATCACTCCCTTGCACGTATATCCTCAAAAATCCTTATCCCACTTCAAGTTCACCCTACTCACCTTGCAAAGTCATCAATCTTGATGAAATCCAACTTTCTGTCTACTCCACACTCACCTTGCTGCAGCTGAAAATAAACAAAAAAAATAGACACAACCATGCTGTATCATTTCAAACCTCAACTGACCTTATTGTTGCTTGGCAATCTACTTCCCCAGTTCATTTATCTTTTTCCCCCCTTTTTATAAAAGGTTATTGCTTTTGGGGTTCTATTTCTTAAGTTTTGCCTACCCCGAGTACAAAAGATATTCTTCTATACTTCTTCTAAAAACGTTATGGTTTTTATGTCTATGTCTTATGTCTATGGATCTACCTTTTTTGGACATTTCATGTAAACAGAATCACACAATATGTGACCTTTTCTGTCTGGCTTCTTTCACTTAGCATAATGTTTTTGAGGTTTATCCACATAATATTATGTATCAGTACTTCATTCCTTTTTATGGCTGAGTAATATTCCATTGTATGTATGTATCACCTTATTTATCTGTTGATGGACATTTCAGTTATTTCTATCTTTTGACTACTGTGAATTGTGCTACTATGAACATTTGTGTACAAGTGTCTGAGTATGTTTTCAATTCTTTTGGGTATACACCTAGGAGTGGTCACATGGTCATTTTATGTTTAACTTCCTGAGGAACTGCCAAACTGTCTTCTATAGCAGCTAAATCAGTTTACTTTCTCACTAGCAATACATGAGGGTTTCAATTTTTCCACATCCTTGTTGTATTGATTTCCTAGAGGTGCTGTACTGAATTACCAAAAGCTGGGTGCTTAAAACAATACATTTTTATTCTCTCATGGTTCTGGAGTCCAGAAGTCTGAAATCAAGCTATCTGCAGGGCCTTGAATCCTCTGAAGGCTCTAGGGAAGGCTCTTCCAGTTTCTAGCTGGCTCCTGGAGGTCCATGGCTTTTTGTAAAAAAACTCACTATCTGCTTTTTTTTCATATGGTTTTCTTAAAAGGACACCATTCATTTTATTTAGGGTCAACCGTAATCTGGCATGACCTATCTTAACTAGCTACTTATATAAAGACTCTATTTCCAAATAAAATCATTCTGAGATTCTGGATGGACATGAGTTTTGGAGCGAACACTACTCAACCTAGTATGCTCACCAATACATATCTTCTGTTTTATGTTTTGTCTCTGTTTTTTAAACAACAGACATCCTATTAGAAGTGAAGTGATATTTCACTGTGGTTTTGATTTGCCTTCTCTAAAAACTAACGATGATAAGCATCTTTTCATGTACTGGCTGGCCATTTGGAGAAATATCTATTCAAATCTTTTGCCCATTTTAAAATTGGGTTGTCTTTTTGTTGTTGAACTGTAAGAATTCTTTGCATATTCTGGAAATTAGGACCTTATCAAAATACAATTTACAAATTTTCTCCCTCTGTAGGTTGTATTATCTACTTTTTTGATAATCACTTTGATGCATTAAAGTTTCCCATTTTAATGAAGCTGAATTTGTCTTTTTTTTTCCTTTTGTTGCTCATGCTCTTGGTGTCATATCTAAGAATTTATTGCTAAATCCGAAGTCATAAAGATTTGACCCAGCGTTTTGAGTTTTATAGTTTTATATCTTATATTAAGTTCATTAACACATTTTATTTTTGTATATGGGATGAAGTAGGAGTCCAACTTTGCATTCGGATGTCAAATTGTCCCAGCATCATTTGTTGAAAGACTATTTTTCCCAATTGATGGTTTTGCATCTTTGTCAAAAGTCAACTTGGCAATAGATTTTGGGTTTATTTCTAGACTCTCAATTCTATCTGATTGATCTATATGTCCATCCTTAAGCCAGGACCACATGATCCCATGACCCTGAGATCATCATGACTTGAGCTGAAACCAAGGGTCATATGTTTAACCGACTGAGCCACCCGGTGTCCAAGGATCACACTTTCTTGATTACTACAGCTTTGTGATGGGTTTTACACTGAGGGAGTGTAAATACTCCAATTTAGCTCTTTTTGTTTTAGCTTTTACATTTATATTTATAATTCATCTTAAACTGATTTTTGTAAATGGTGTGAGGCAGGGGTCATTTTGTTTCCTCCTGGATATCCAGTTGCTCCAGAATAATTTGATGAAAAGACAAGCTTGAAAGGACTGGCTTTTTGCATGTTTTTTAATTTCTAACATGTTCTGAGAGCTTATTAAGTATGAGCCACTTTACATGCACTAGGTAATAGAGTTCTCATAATATTCTGAGGTATGTACATATTTAACCTATTAAAATGAAAAACAGATAAGTAACGTACCAAATCTCAAACTAGTAAATAATAGATTTGTCTAATGCCAGAGTCCCATGCTATTAACTACTAAATAATAGTGCCTTCTGGCTGTCCCTCTACCCAATGTGATAGAGATTCACCTTCTCTCCTGCAGAATTTTCTGCTACATTTCCACTTCCAAACCTTCTTGCCTTCTTCCAAGCCTGTTTATATCCTTAAAATGGATATGCCCTTTCCCCCCCCCCCAAGCATCAGAATCTCTGTTTATGGTTTCCTCTTTATACTAAGTTTAAATCACAACATATTACTGTATTAGCAGAAAACTTATAGGGAATGTAGAGCAAAAGGAAAAAGTCATGGGCTATTTCAAACTTATTTAAACTTTCAAAGTCTGCATTTAATTTATGTGAAAACAGTTTTCCCAGAAAAGACATGAAATTATTTAAACAAAATTAATCTACAAGCAAAAAGTTACATGCAACTGATCTCAAAATATTCAATTATATCACTTATATGTGGAACCTAAAAAACAAACCAAACAGAACAGGCAGAAACAGACCCATAAATACACAGAACACACTGGTGATTGCTAGAGGGAAGAGGTGTAGGGGATGGGCAAAAAGGGGTGAAAGGGAGTAGGAGGTATAGGCTTCTAATTATGGAAGGAATAAGTCACATGGATGAAAGGAAGAGCATGAAGAATATAGTCAATGGTATTGTAATAACATTGTACGATGGCATATGGTAGCTACACTTGTGATAAGCATAGCATAACATATAGAGTTGTCGAATCAGTGTGCTGTACACCTGAAACGAATAGAATATTTTATATTTAATAAAATATGAACAAACATTCAAGAAAAATGCTATTTCAGCATTTGAAGACTCTATTCCAAGTTCCAGCAGCAATTAAAAAAAAGTCTTAGGGGCGCCTGGGTGGCTCAGTGGGTTAAGCCGCTGCCTTCGGCTCAGGTCGTGATCTCGGAGTCCTGGGATCGAGTCCCGCATTGGGCTCTCTGCTCAGCAGGGAGCCTGCTTCCTCCTGTCTCTCTGCCTGCCTCTCTGCCTGATGAGTAAAAGTATCAATACCTACACAAGTAAAATAATACTTTATTTTAAAAAGCATGAGTAAAAGTATCAATACCTACACAAGTAAAATAATACTTTATTTTAAAAAGCAGTTCAACTCTTAATGTTGTTAGATTCTAGCTTGGAACAAAGCTGGTATATATAACTGGAATGATTATCTGTGCAAGGTTTTCATGTGACCACATTTAAGACAACCACTAAACCAAAAGTTATATTATTTTACCAGAGTGGAGGATAACCAAGTTATGTTTTCTAATACATTTAAATTATCCTATAAATAAACTACACATTCTTTTCTCGTCTTGTTGCTGTTACTTTACAGAAAAAGCTTCCTTTCACAGTTAATACTTAGAAATACACTTTGGAGCCAGAGAAAATCTTAGTGTAAACTCCAGCTCTTCTACCTATTAGCTTTAAGACTTTGGGTAAGCTTCTTAACCTTACGAAGCTCATTTCCTTATCATACAATGGAGAAAATAAATGTTTCAAAGATTGAGATAATTTGTGTTAATAGGATGAATTGTGTCCCTCCCTCCCCCCCAATTCATATGGTGAAGTCCTAATCCCCAGTACTCAGAATGTGACTATACTGGAAACAGGTTCTTTAAAGAGGTAATTAAGTTAAAATGAGGTCATTAGGGAAGGACTTATCCATTATGACAGTGTCTTTATGAGAAAATTAGGACACAGATAGATAGATAGATAGGGAAGACATTGTGAGACAAAGGGAAAAGACATCCATTTACAAGTGAACTGGAAAGAGGCCTCAGAAGAAACCGACTCTGACAATACCTTGATCTCAGAGTCTAGGTCTCAGAATTGTGAGAAAATAAATTTCTGTTGTTTAAGCCCCCTAATATGTGGCATTTTGTTATGGCAACCCTAAAAAGTTAATACAACATGTAAAGACTTTAGAATAGTGCCTGGAACACCATAGGTAATCAATAACTTCATTACTACTGTTATTATTTCCCCAGAGCTTTTCTAATTTTCAACTCCACACATAGTTCAGTTCTTAAGATGTTCATTTAATGGCTTAGTGGCAAAAGAGTAAGACTTTGTTGGGATACACAGAATGCTATGGACTCTCAGCATCCTTGCATGTTCTTGCTGGGTTTGAGCTCTCTTTTTCTGGGCCATTTCTCAGGGATGTGTTTCCAGTGAGTAACCTTGAATGATGACAAAATATCTCACTCCAGACCAAGAACAGGCTTACTTCCGCTTCTATAAAAGCTGTGATTTTCCTGAATTCAAGACCTTAGGGGACATGACTGAGGTCAGTAGCACAGATTGGTTTCATCCTGTTGCTCAGTCTGTTGATAGCAGCCTTAATTAACTGCTCTATGAAACCAACTGAATAGATCTGATATTGACTAAATAACCTGTTTATCAGATTAATCAGACTAGTAAACAGAGTGGCATTCTTACATGAAAATTCAAGTCTGGCCAAGAGCATTTCAAGTTAAGAAGTGAGTAGTTGGAAGAGGCCATCCATACGGGCTCTGAATGACACGGCATATTTTCTGGGTATGCCACCAATGCAAGGTCCTGACCTATCTTTACCCAGTCCGTGTCTCAGGCTTGTGTTTACATTGAGCAATCTTGGGGCATGAGGTAACAACTCCCCTTGGGCAAAAAACAGGATTGTTTCCGGTTACTATAAAAGCAATCAATGCCCCAAGCTCAGTGTTCCTTTTCTGTAACACAACCCACTTTGTGTGCCCGCTTCCATCACTGGCCTTTTATGTTGCTCTTATGGAGCTCAGAGAAATGGGAACTGATACAAACCAACAAGAAGCACTAGCTACTGCTTTGATAATGAATATCAAAGTGCACTGTCTCTGATCCAAGTGTCTCGTGTATCTGTTGCATACCATGAAATGGTAACAGGCTAACAGGTAAGTTGGGTGAAATCTCAGACCCTGCAGTTATTGACAGACATCAACAATTTTCTTCTTGGTAAAGGCTGGCACTATGACTTGGCTTGATTTATTATTAGGAAATTTATTATTAGCATGATACATTACAAAATCTTACTTTCCAAAGACCTAGCCAATAACACTACAAAAATAAAAAGCCCTCTGTTTCCTGTGAATTTAACTGTCTGTGTCCAAGTCCAGTAATAATTTCACTGTCTGTTTGAAGTACTAATAGTACTAAATCCAAAGCTCGGCGCCATGCCTCGGTCTTTGGTATAACTACGTCATAAATGCTTGGAATCTGTTCCAGTTTATTTGAAATGGCTGAATTAAAAATTCCACTATTTAGTTTACTATATTCATTCAAGATGTAAGATGAAGGAGAACCAGAGTCTGTGGCATTTTGTAGACGCTGTTGAATGAATGTGCTGGCTTCAAATTCTGATGAGCAACTGGCTGTGTTATATATGAGAGTTGAAAGGTATTTGTGCCACCCATTTGCAAGGCATTTAAGCACAGTTGATCTGTATAGTGCCAGAGAGGAGGCCAGCCAAGAGGAAGTATTAGGAAGCCATCCTGAACAAACGTGGTTTCTTTTACTCAGTGATTGCTTTGCAAGAATCTGAAGGTGGCTAAGGCACAAAAATTCAACTGCACCACCTCCAAGGAAGACCTTTTGCTCTTTTAGAGCATAATACAGACGATAGGCACAAGTCCAGAATCTATCTTCTTTGGTTTGCATCTGTGCAGTGACTGAGCTAGTGAGCACCACTGTAACCAGATTAATTCCTTCCGTTTTTATCACGATTGTGATTACGTTGATCCTATCTATGACATCTGAAGGAATACTTCTCCAGAAGGTCACAGAGACCCCACTGCCCACACAGTTTTCATTCACTTGTGTGATGTAGGTCACCTGTACTGCTCCCGAAGCTTCTGCAAAAGCCTGCATCACACTGCTATTCACGGACCCAAGTACCAACCGCTTACTGTGTATGCACTTTTCAGTTAAGTGTTCAGACACATTTCCTTGTACCAGGACGAGGTTCACGTTGAACTTAATTAATACCTGTAAGACATAATTTGTCCACAGTTCTTCTGTGGTGTCTTGTTGAACCCTCATGCTTTCCAATACTGTGTTAATATTTGTAGCCTTATTAAACCCCAGGTGCCGATAATTCTCTGTGAGGTCACCCTCAATGAGAAGAATCCGGATAGGCTGATTCTGTAATTCCTTGATCAGAGTAGTATTAGATATTGATAGAACAGTGATAAATCCTGGACAGACACAAGAAAAACTTTCAGGTACACCTGGTAAACAACAAATGAAGATTCTGGAAATGTCAAACCAAAATGGCATCATACGGCTGCCTTGCTGCATACTTGCATTCTGATACTGCAGCCGTACTGCTTCATCTACTAATTTCATGCTATGGTGATCTCCGTGACTCAAACCCATCTCCAACTCTACCAAATCACTGCATCTGTAAGTACTGGGAGTAGCTCCACCATGTTGTTCTAGAAATCCATCTGGTTTGTTTATCCACTGATTATTATCTGTCCTATTAAAATGCCTACTGTGGATTAGTATTGACTTTCCATAATGGCTGCCTGTGAGCAGACTGTTTTGCAGACTTTGAGGATTTTGTAGTGTATTTTTATCTGCTTCAACTTCAGCCTGAGATCTAAAGAGTTTAGTTGATCTAACAGGTATCCCAGCAAGACTGTAAAAGGTCAGTGATGGAGAGGCAACATCTTTGAGATCATGCTCTTTCTGTAAACCAGTATCTGAAGGGATTTGTAGAAAAGGACACAAACTGACACTAGATGTTTCAAGTCCAGAAAATGTCTTAGTGCTGTCTATATGGTCAAATACACTGTGGACAGGTACTTGAAGGGAAACTACCTCTTCAATGCAAGAGTTCAAGCCCTCTGACATTGCAGACACTATTAATGAAATGGGGACACCTAAATGGAGACATTCTTCAGCAGCACTGCTCCAGGCACCGATGAGAAACAAAAGAGTACTGGTTCCAGTTTTATATGTGTTATTTTGTGCTTGAACTGCTTCGTTGAGAAGTTGTCCCACTGCACTGGTTAAATCCAAACTTTCAAGAAGCCTTACTGTTGAACTGATTAACACACTTTCATGACACTCTGCATCTATAATAAATTTAGATAATTTTAATGGACCTAGGAAAGTTCTTCCTGTTCCCGCAAATGATGAAAGTTGTTGAAGTCCCATGTGCCTTCTTTTATTTATGACCCTGCAAGCCATCACCATGAGTCATCATCTGCAAATAAAATAAAAACTTGGAAATTTATTCAGTGTAATTCGTGGTTACAATTGCTTATAAAAGAAAAATCAGATATCGTCCCTGCCTTTGAGGGGTTTCTGGTATGTACAGTTTCCATTCAATAGAGTCAGTGCAATGATAACAGTACTATAATGATATTTCGATAAAGGTATGGGCATGTGGGGAAGGAATACTCATCCAATAGGGGAAGTGGATCATGTAGGCAATGATTCTGGTAGTGTTCCCAGAAGAGGACAATGCTTGAAATGAGTCTTGAAGAATAATTTGAAAGAGTCAGCAAGTTGAAGGAGGGGGTAGTAAATGCACATATATGTGAAAAAACACAGTGTACTGGGGTAATATAAGTAGTTTAATTTTATAGAAATATGAAGAAAGTAGTAGGAAATGGAAGATGAAGCTCTAGAAAAGAAAAAGGGTTGGAACATGAGGGCCATTATGTGCCACGTCAAACCTGATCCTCTAATGGGAACCACTTAAGTGTTTTAAGTAGGGAAGATTAAGAAACAGCTTGATATAGAGTTTGAAAGCATGTGCTCTAGATCTAGAAGTCTGGATTTGAACTTGGCTCTAACACTTACTAGCTATGTAGACTTCAGCAAGTTATCTAACTACTCTACTCTGTCCACATCTGAAAAATAAGGACTATAACAGAAACTACCTTGTAGGGTTGTTATAAGGAGTAAAGGACTACAGTGTTCAGAACAACTCCAGGCACATAATCCCTTCTGAGTACTACTGTGACTACTGCTGCTGCTGCTAGTGTTTTGGATAGATTACCGTTCTGACAGCACGGAGAATGAACAGGGTAGGTGCCTCACTGGAGGCAGAAAAGCCAGCTAAGCATTATCTGTAGTTATCTAGATAGGGAATGTGGAAGAGGGATGCAGGTGAGAGGATGGACTAGGTTACTAATTAGAATGCAAAGGGGAAAAAAGTATTATTTAAAGGGAAGTTCAAAAGCAATTGGGCTTTTTCCACATACTATTTAAAAATCCACGACTAAAACCAGTAAGACTTAAAGAGAGAAACTTCAGTCCAATAAAAAGAACTTTTTAACAAAGTACCCCTTACTTGAAAAGCTGTCTATAATAAAATGACCTATCTTGCAAGGTATAAGCTCTCAAAGACTAGAACTAAAATTGTAGATAATATAAACTCTTCCAACTCCACGACTTTATAATTCTTTGAACGATATTTTTTGTCACAATCTTTTAAATCCAAAATATCAAAAAGCAAGCAATTCAGAGTTTTGCTTTTCATCTGATAAATTTGTTCCTATAATACCTGGATTCATCCTTGAAACTGAGGAGTGCCACTATTCGAGATACCTTAAGATCAGGAGGAAGCCATAACACAACTATTCCTCAAGAGTAGCCTCCTATAAGCTTTCAAGAACTAAGGGGAAAAGCTAATATAGCCAAGGAAAAGGTATAAAGATGAACTGTTTGTACTCAGTTTCAAATGCAAATGCTCTTTTGTGAAAATTTCAATTCTATAAAATAAAAATCAAACTCTTGATACATCCAGGCATATCTCATTTGATATGGCACCAATATATACTCTAGGACTCATACTCTAATCTCGAGACCCATTGTATCTTCAAATTATCTGATCTTACCATGTTTTCGTTGTCCCTCACTCCTCACCCCCATACTGTCAATTCTCTACTTATCCAGTTTAAATTCCTGTCAATTATTACAATCACTCCCTTGCACGTATATCCTCAAAAATCCTTATCCCACTTCAAGTTCACCCTACTCACCTTGCAAAGTCATCAATCTTGATGAAATCCAACTTTCTGTCTACTCCACACTCACCTTGCTGCAGCTGAAAATAAACAAAAAAAATAGACACAACCATGCTGTATCATTTCAAACCTCAACTGACCTTATTGTTGCTTGGCAATCTACTTCCCCAGTTCATTTATCTTTTTCCCCCCTTTTTATAAAAGGTTATTGCTTTTGGGGTTCTATTTCTTAAGTTTTGCCTACCCCGAGTACAAAAGATATTCTTCTATACTTCTTCTAAAAACGTTATGGTTTTTATGTCTATGTCTTATGTCTATGGATCTACCTTTTTTGGACATTTCATGTAAACAGAATCACACAATATGTGACCTTTTCTGTCTGGCTTCTTTCACTTAGCATAATGTTTTTGAGGTTTATCCACATAATATTATGTATCAGTACTTCATTCCTTTTTATGGCTGAGTAATATTCCATTGTATGTATGTATCACCTTATTTATCTGTTGATGGACATTTCAGTTATTTCTATCTTTTGACTACTGTGAATTGTGCTACTATGAACATTTGTGTACAAGTGTCTGAGTATGTTTTCAATTCTTTTGGGTATACACCTAGGAGTGGTCACATGGTCATTTTATGTTTAACTTCCTGAGGAACTGCCAAACTGTCTTCTATAGCAGCTAAATCAGTTTACTTTCTCACTAGCAATACATGAGGGTTTCAATTTTTCCACATCCTTGTTGTATTGATTTCCTAGAGGTGCTGTACTGAATTACCAAAAGCTGGGTGCTTAAAACAATACATTTTTATTCTCTCATGGTTCTGGAGTCCAGAAGTCTGAAATCAAGCTATCTGCAGGGCCTTGAATCCTCTGAAGGCTCTAGGGAAGGCTCTTCCAGTTTCTAGCTGGCTCCTGGAGGTCCATGGCTTTTTGTAAAAAAACTCACTATCTGCTTTTTTTTCATATGGTTTTCTTAAAAGGACACCATTCATTTTATTTAGGGTCAACCGTAATCTGGCATGACCTATCTTAACTAGCTACTTATATAAAGACTCTATTTCCAAATAAAATCATTCTGAGATTCTGGATGGACATGAGTTTTGGAGCGAACACTACTCAACCTAGTATGCTCACCAATACATATCTTCTGTTTTATGTTTTGTCTCTGTTTTTTAAACAACAGACATCCTATTAGAAGTGAAGTGATATTTCACTGTGGTTTTGATTTGCCTTCTCTAAAAACTAACGATGATAAGCATCTTTTCATGTACTGGCTGGCCATTTGGAGAAATATCTATTCAAATCTTTTGCCCATTTTAAAATTGGGTTGTCTTTTTGTTGTTGAACTGTAAGAATTCTTTGCATATTCTGGAAATTAGGACCTTATCAAAATACAATTTACAAATTTTCTCCCTCTGTAGGTTGTATTATCTACTTTTTTGATAATCACTTTGATGCATTAAAGTTTCCCATTTTAATGAAGCTGAATTTGTCTTTTTTTTTCCTTTTGTTGCTCATGCTCTTGGTGTCATATCTAAGAATTTATTGCTAAATCCGAAGTCATAAAGATTTGACCCAGCGTTTTGAGTTTTATAGTTTTATATCTTATATTAAGTTCATTAACACATTTTATTTTTGTATATGGGATGAAGTAGGAGTCCAACTTTGCATTCGGATGTCAAATTGTCCCAGCATCATTTGTTGAAAGACTATTTTTCCCAATTGATGGTTTTGCATCTTTGTCAAAAGTCAACTTGGCAATAGATTTTGGGTTTATTTCTAGACTCTCAATTCTATCTGATTGATCTATATGTCCATCCTTAAGCCAGGACCACATGATCCCATGACCCTGAGATCATCATGACTTGAGCTGAAACCAAGGGTCATATGTTTAACCGACTGAGCCACCCGGTGTCCAAGGATCACACTTTCTTGATTACTACAGCTTTGTGATGGGTTTTACACTGAGGGAGTGTAAATACTCCAATTTAGCTCTTTTTGTTTTAGCTTTTACATTTATATTTATAATTCATCTTAAACTGATTTTTGTAAATGGTGTGAGGCAGGGGTCATTTTGTTTCCTCCTGGATATCCAGTTGCTCCAGAATAATTTGATGAAAAGACAAGCTTGAAAGGACTGGCTTTTTGCATGTTTTTTAATTTCTAACATGTTCTGAGAGCTTATTAAGTATGAGCCACTTTACATGCACTAGGTAATAGAGTTCTCATAATATTCTGAGGTATGTACATATTTAACCTATTAAAATGAAAAACAGATAAGTAACGTACCAAATCTCAAACTAGTAAATAATAGATTTGTCTAATGCCAGAGTCCCATGCTATTAACTACTAAATAATAGTGCCTTCTGGCTGTCCCTCTACCCAATGTGATAGAGATTCACCTTCTCTCCTGCAGAATTTTCTGCTACATTTCCACTTCCAAACCTTCTTGCCTTCTTCCAAGCCTGTTTATATCCTTAAAATGGATATGCCCTTTCCCCCCCCCCCAAGCATCAGAATCTCTGTTTATGGTTTCCTCTTTATACTAAGTTTAAATCACAACATATTACTGTATTAGCAGAAAACTTATAGGGAATGTAGAGCAAAAGGAAAAAGTCATGGGCTATTTCAAACTTATTTAAACTTTCAAAGTCTGCATTTAATTTATGTGAAAACAGTTTTCCCAGAAAAGACATGAAATTATTTAAACAAAATTAATCTACAAGCAAAAAGTTACATGCAACTGATCTCAAAATATTCAATTATATCACTTATATGTGGAACCTAAAAAACAAACCAAACAGAACAGGCAGAAACAGACCCATAAATACACAGAACACACTGGTGATTGCTAGAGGGAAGAGGTGTAGGGGATGGGCAAAAAGGGGTGAAAGGGAGTAGGAGGTATAGGCTTCTAATTATGGAAGGAATAAGTCACATGGATGAAAGGAAGAGCATGAAGAATATAGTCAATGGTATTGTAATAACATTGTACGATGGCATATGGTAGCTACACTTGTGATAAGCATAGCATAACATATAGAGTTGTCGAATCAGTGTGCTGTACACCTGAAACGAATAGAATATTTTATATTTAATAAAATATGAACAAACATTCAAGAAAAATGCTATTTCAGCATTTGAAGACTCTATTCCAAGTTCCAGCAGCAATTAAAAAAAAGTCTTAGGGGCGCCTGGGTGGCTCAGTGGGTTAAGCCGCTGCCTTCGGCTCAGGTCGTGATCTCGGAGTCCTGGGATCGAGTCCCGCATTGGGCTCTCTGCTCAGCAGGGAGCCTGCTTCCTCCTGTCTCTCTGCCTGCCTCTCTGCCTGCTTGTGATCTCTGTCTGTCAAATAAATAAATAAAATCTAAAAAAAAAAAAAAAAAAAAAAAAAAAAAGTCTTAGCATTCCTAAGTTGGGAAAAGCTCCTAAATAATTATTTTGTAAAGATTAATTAATTACCATAAAATAAAAATGCAAACAAAAATCCCTCACCTTCTAAAAAGTTGAGTAACAGGCATGGTGAAATAGGTAATTTCAAAGGAAAAAAAAAAAAACTTTTCTTGGCATTGAATTGACACTCTGATTTTTGTTCTGCCATACATCAGCACCAATGTTTTCCACAAACAGCTGTTTTATTATTGGGTTTCCTAACAACTTTACTTGCCAGCTTAATGTTTCTTTAACTTTCTAAACGTGTAACAGAAGCACAGACACACTACTTCACTGGGTTTTGACATCAAAAGCATCCTTCTTTTCCTAGTATGATGTCTAGTCCTGTTTAAGGCATTTGGTCTAGAATACCAAGACATGCAATACTTTTCAGGAGTTGAATTTTTAAAAATATTAATATTTTCTGACAGGTATGATTAGCTTTCTTCATTATCAAAATGAACAGTTTGTATATCACCAGTCTTTCCCAATATAGCAGTCTAATCATATTCCATTACTTAAAAACCTTCAACTTGGAACATAAAAGTTTTTACTCCTTTGTCTGACACAGGATCCCCTTTTAAAAAATCAGCTCAGGTCATTTCACTCCTCTGCTCAAAATCTTGCAAAGCCTTCCCATTTCACTAGGAATGAAAATCAAGGTCCTAATAAAGCCCTAATAATCTGCACTCCTCCCTCTTACCCCTTTTTGTTTCCTACTACTCTATCCTCAAGCAGTCTGCAAGTCATGCTCCCTAACTTAGAGTTTCTGTTCTAGTTATTCCCTCTTTCTGGGATGTTCATCCCTGAGAAATCTGTTGCCTCACCACCTCTAAATATTTACTCAAATTTACTCTTTTCAGTGAGGCCTACCATGGAGCACGCTATCTAATATCACGAATTCCACTTTTCCCTCTACACTTGGATTCCCTTTAACTGCTCTACTTCCTTTTTTCCATAACACTTACCCTTTATAAAGTAGTACAAAGTGTAGGTATGTATTTATTATGTATGACCATCTCCCTCTCTTAGAATGTAATTCCCAGGAGGACAATTTTAGTCACTTAGGTATACCACGTACCAAGAATATTGTCTGACACACTGCTGACAATAAATATTTGGTGAGCACATGGTTTTCACCATAGTTGCTATCTTAACTTTAAGTACAAAACTGACAAGATTAAACAGAGGCCATTGTCAGTATTACTCCACCAAAATTTAAGTTCCAATCACCTTTACAGTTGACATGATTCCTATTTGGTACTGCCTTAGTTGAGACCCTTTAATTGCTTCCAAAATGGTTCCTCCTTCACATGGTTGTCAGAATTATCTTTGCAAAACAAAAACCCAATCAAAGTACTCCATTGCCTAAAAACATCTATTTATCTTAGAAAATAAAATCTTCACTCCTTAGTTTGACACAGGTGTCCCGTAATCGAACCTCAACGTAATTTATGACTCATTTCCCACCTTTCCTTATATACCCTAAGATCTTGAGACACATTAGAACATACATTTATTTTCATATTTACACATGCTATATTCACATTTGAATATCCTACCCTTTCTTCACCTTGGCAAATGCTATATATTTTTCATGACCCAAGGCAAATGCCACATTTTTAAAAATGTTATTTATTTATTTGAGAGAGAGAGAAAGAGAGAGAGGGAGGATGAGTGGGGGAAGGAGCAGAGGGAGGAGAAGCAGATTCCCTGCTGAGCAGGGAGCCTCCTGAAGGGCTCCACATTTTTTTTTTTTTTAAAGATTTTATTTATTTATTTGGCAGAGATAACAAGTAGGCAGACAGGCAGGTGGGGAGGAAGCAGGCTCCCTGCTGAGCAGAGAGCCAGATAGGGGGCTCCATCCCAGGATGCTGAGATTATGACCTGAGCAGAAGGCAGAGGCTTAACCCACTGAGCCACCCAGGTGCTCCAGGGCTCCACATTTTTGATACAACCTTATCCATTGCCCCAGGAAGTAGTGCCTCCTTCCAGTGCTCATGCACTTCCCACACACATCTTCTAAAGCACTTAGCGCCCGGAATTTAAAACTCTCTATATATGTCTGTGCCTTTCTCCCCTACTAATCTGTTGGTTCCTTACTTTTATTCATCTTTATCCTCTACACTCAGTTCCTTTCAAACTCACCCAGTAGCTGGCACAATATAAGACGTGTGGAAAGCATTAAGTAAATTTAGTAGAATTAAGAGTGCCAATGAGGGTGCCTGGGTGGCTCAGTGGGTTGGGCCGCTGCCTTCGGCTCAGGTCATGATCTCAGGGTCCTAGGATCGAGTCCCGCATCGGGTTCTCTGCTCGGCAGGGATCCTGCTTCCCTCTCTCTCTCTCTGCCTGCCTCTCCATCTACTTGTGATCTCTCTCTGTCAAATAAATAAATAAAATCCTTAAAAAAAAAAAAAAGAGTGCCAATGAATTTAATATTTTCCTAGACTAATTATTATTATTACTACTGTTTTACAATACAATTGGATTAGTAACAGCTATTTTTCAAGACTAAGTACTCTCTAGACCCAAGACCTAGGAATTGCAATCTGAGACTATAATAAAAAAACCATTTTACTATAAGTTAATTTCCCAAATATAAGAGCCTAAATCACAAAGCGATGTAAAAGCAGGTTAACAGCAGGTTAATATTACTCAGACTTTTAATTGCCATAAGATCAAAACTGATTAAGGTTAGAATTTGGTTCTATATATTTGGTCACTATTCATTTCTGGGTCTCAGAAATCCTCTTAATATTAGTAGTAAAGATGAAGTAAATGTCCTTAAAACTCATCAAGAGCAACTTTCCTGGTGAGGTTAATGGCCTGAAAAATCAAAATACAAATAACCCTTAAAATCTAGGGGTTAGGGACAGGACTCTGACCACTGCACAACTGAAAATCCAAATATAACTCTTGACTCCCTCAAAACTTAACTACACTTAACTACTAATAGCCTACTGTCGTTTGGAAGTCTTACAGATAACCAAAACAGCGAATTAACACATATTTTATATGTTACATGTGTTATATGCTGTATTCTTACAATAATACCTTAAAAAAACTTTTTTTCAGTATCTCTAGGCTACAAGTTTCAACAGGGAGTTTTTTCAAATTGTGGCAAATCTCCAAAAAAAAAAAAAATCCATGTATAAGTAGGCCCACACAGTTCAAATCCTTGTTGTTTAAGGGTCTACTGCATTATAATTAAATCAATGAACATTCTACTTAATTCACAAAATATCTTGAACTTGAATAATTTTAATTTCCACTGGGACTTTATACGGAAAAATCACTTCTAATTTTAGAATAACCTTACCTATTTTCCAGAATCCTAATATGTTGTTTATGATTACAAAGCTTGGGTGTCTGACTGGGATAGAATGTGAACCAGACAGGATTATGGTTTTGGAAAATGTGCCATGCTTCTACATACTTCATATAGTATGAACCGTGATTCAACAATGCGCTTTGCACATTTTTCTTGCCCTGCCTTCAAGGAGATAAGTGGGGGAAAAAATTGGGCAAAAGTTAATGTTCCTCATAAATCCACTGCTGGAGAGTCCAGTATGATTTTTGGAAAATAAAGTACTTACTCTGCAGAAGGTACCGCAGGAGGCATAAAAACAGTCCTGATGTGTAAAAATTAGGGCTAGAAGTTTTAAGAGAATATCACCTCTTCATTTCTACCAGGAAGTGAGAGGTCCACCTCATTCTCTCCCACCCTCGGCCTGGTCCCTGACCAGATTCACGACTGGGAGAGTCAACAAGTCTGCCCCTCTGGGCAAGAATTTGCTTTGATTTACAGTAGTTATAGGCTTCTAAATCTCAGCAGTTAACTGAATCAACTGGATTATCAGGCTACTTTTTTTTTTTTCTTTTAAGAGTTTATTTATGTATTTGACAGACAGAGATCACAAGCAGGCAGAGAGGCAGGCAGAGAGAGGAGGAAGCAGGCTTCCCGCGGAGCAGAGAGCCCGATGCGGGGCTCCATTCCAGAACCCCGGGATCATGACCCCAGCCAAAGGCAGAGGCTTTAAACCACTGAGCCACCCAGGTACCCCTATCAGGCTACTTCTGTCTGATTCATGACTATGGATTTATGCAGGATATGGCTGGAAAGCCGGCCAAATCTTGGGATTTAACCACAGGAATGGCTGAGGGTGAGAGTAAGGTAGGGGTCGGGGGGATAGGTGTCTGATCGTAATTATAATTGGAGCCAAAGTTCTTCCCGGCAAATAAATACTACAACATGGTTAAAAACTTTCGTATGCAGTGAATTTTGGTGCATCCCGACGCCCACACTGCCCCCTTGCCCAATTCCTTCCAGCCATTCGGCTACAGCGCCAGAATCCCTCCGGACCAGATAAGAGGGAAATGCTAAAGGCCAAGCCCCCCGCACTGTGGAGGCGGAGAAATATCTAGCGACCCCGGGGAAGGTCCGTCCCCTCCACCTCTGTTAATTCCAGCCGGACGGTAAGCCTAAACTGGACCGATTTACCCGGCCCGGCAGGCCCTGGACTCTCATCCTTTCCCGGGGTATGAAAAGGTCAAAAAAGCAAATAAATGCTCTCATCGTCTGCACTAAAGACTTGGGAGTCGGTGGAAGCACCTCGTTACTAACCTCGCTCTTTTCTCCATCTTCACGCGAGGATTCAGATCCCAGCTTCTCACCTGGCATTAGGACATCTAACCACCCGGACGAAGCAACCGCCTTCTCCGCCCGCATTTTGCGCATGTGCGAAGCGGAGCGAGCCTGCCGGTTGGGTGGGTTTGGTCGCTAAGATACCAGAGGGAAAGTTCTGCTTAACGGCAGGCTAAGAAAGGCAGAGCGTTACTCTATTGGTAAAGAGGAGAGAGAGAGGGTGGGCTTAAAGGGCCTTCTTTTCTAACCATTGGGTAGAATAACTGTCAATCAGCAGGCAGGCCTGGGTGGGCGGGGCTGCTGGGGGGGGGGGTGACAGCGGCCTTAGCAACGGTTTCTGAACTGTGTAGACTGCAGTTGGGCTGCGCGGCTGGCGGCCGGGAGGTCCCGGCTGACCTCACTGGTTGGTGACATGGTGAGTGCCACGCCGTAACCCCTTGCGGGCCGAGGCTAAAGCTGAAGTTTCAGCCCGGAGCAAGGAAGGAATTTTGTTTGGTTTATGAAGTGTCTTATTCGTCCCCTGATCCTCGAGTGTCATGTAGTAACCGTTCCTCTCGTGGCAAACTTAGAAGCATGATGGCCGCGGCTCTGGAGACGCAGGAGCGGGCTTCCAGTTCATTCGTTCTTTATCGTCCCCACCAACCGCTGATACCAGCGCTCAGCGATCGGTTCCGTGACGGAAACAGAAACCACTGGTTAGCCAGAAAAGAACTGGATACAGAGAAGAAGAGGCTGAGAAACTGTTGGGAGGGTCTAGACCTCTAGGAAAGAGGTCCTGAGCTCCGAAAAAGCGGCCCGGGTTGAGAAGGTAAAGGTTCTGAGGGGTCGGAACTGCGCTCCTGTGCATCTGCAGTCCGGGGGCCAAGAATCCGCCGCTGCCTTCACGTGAGCCAGGAGATGAGGCGCTTAGGAACGTGATGTCCGGTTGCCCTCTCGGCCGCCGCTGATTCTTAACCCGAAGCTGGAGATGGGATAGTGAAGTAAGGCTGCAAAATCCGAAGAGTAACTCTGTGACCTTGCTTGTCAGCGGAAGATGGCACATAGCAGGAAGATGACCTCCAGTTTACCTGGATGCTGATAATTGGCCCAATATTTATTCCTACTCCGATCCCTGGAGTAGTTTTTCACCTGAACAATATAGATTTGTTTGTTTGTTTGTTTTTGTTTTTCCCATTACTCAGCTTCTGCAATATAGAAAAGTGCGCTAAAAGGTGGGAAAGGGTTTTGTTTCAATCAAACATATCCCACAAAATAAATTTTATTATGAGACATATAGGCCTAGATGAAAGGTGTGCCTTAGACATTACTTTTCAGATATACCAAGTAGGGCCAGTCGTATTCGGACATAACATCTACCATTGGAGCATGCGTGCCTTTGCCTCTTCTCTCTCTCAAAAAGCTCTAGTTTGAAGGAAGAACTTAAGTGGTACAAAGAACCAGACTTTCCACCAAGATATTAATATCAAAAGCATAAATGTTAGCAAAGGGAAAAGGGGGAAATTGCTGATGGTCGTTATGTAGTAGGGAATAGGGTTCTTCAATAGGCTTATTTATTATATTTATCATAGATTATTCAGGTCTGCTAAGTTTTCCAGTTACATAGTTGTTCATGCACATATGTATTTATTACAGGCATCCAACTACTGCACAGGTTCAGATCAATGGAAGAAAAGAGCAGCAAAACTTGAACTGAATGAAACCCAAAAGCAAGAAATTAAAGAGGCCTTTGATTTATTTGATGTTGATGGGTCTGGAACCATAGATGTGAAAGAACTGAAGGTTTTGAAATTACTTCTAATTCTAAAATATTTTAAAAACCATTTACTTGTGGCAGTCTTTCGATCTTTAACAGCAGCTAAGAGCTTGTGACAAAATCTCTTCAGTGTGGACACCTACACCTTCAGTATACATACCTGCCTCATACTAATAATATAGTATCTCGTTAGGCATTTTATTCTTGTTTTATGAATGAGTACAGCAAAACTCAGGATGTGACAAAGACATATCCTATGGCACAATAGGATTGCAACCTAGGCCTGCTGACTTGACTTTCTAGGTTTATGCCTAGTCCATAGTAAAAAAGAGAAAATCTAGTCATTAATAGGTAATTTAAGAGCTAGGAATGAGAATGTAGTATAATTTATTTGCTTCCTATTTCAGATTGCCATGCAAGCCTTAGGATTTGATCCAAAGAAAGAAGAAATTAAAAAAATGATATCTGAAATCGACAAAGAAGGAATTGGCACCATTACTTTTGAAGATTTTTTTGCCATAATGAGTGTAAAAATGGTATAGTAGTGATTTTGTTTTTCAAAGAAATACAAGCAATAGCCTTCTACATTTTTTTGAACAATCAGAGGTTTCACAGAGGAAGAATTGGAACTAGGTTTTTCAAGATGGGTAGGATTTACATAGACAGGAATAGCAAGATTAAAGATGTTTTCAGGATAATAATGAAGACTGTCTCGTGTGGAGAAGGTTGTTAGGAAATAATAAGGATAGATGGCTGGATAGAGAGAATGGGGTCAGCATTTTGAAGCCTTGAACTCAGCAAACATCGAGAGAGCACTGGGTAAGACAAGCTCTGTGTTGTCTCAGAGCTTACATTTTTGATAATGGGTATCAATTACTGGTGTTAATAAGAATTACAGTCTCTTTATCACCCTTGCCTCTTCCACTTTAACAAGCCTTGAATATAGATACCTTGAGAGCAAATGTGAGAGCATTGGAATAATTGTTAAAAGTTATAGCAGTACAGTCAGAACTCAGTTACTTGGTACATTGCTGCTCTAGACCTCAAACACCCATAAGTCCAGTTTGATAGAATAAATGAAAGATCAGTGACATTTAATTGCTTCTGTTTTTAAAGAGTGAAAAAAATGAAAAAGAAGAAATACTGAAGGCTTTCAAATTATTCGATGATGATGATACTGGAAGCATAACACTAAACAATATCAAGAGGGTTGCTAAGGAATTGGGGGAAAATTTAACAGATGATGAACTTAAGGTAATTTTTTACTTTTATAATTATAATTTATATATAATTTATAGTTAGTCTTAATAAAGTTGGACTCATTAAATACATTCAGAATAAAATTTGTGTATTTGAATAGTCATTTATGTCATTATTCATTTTTAATGATTTCACATACCATATTTACATTTTATTTTACAGGAAATGCTTGATGAAGCTGATCGTGATAGGGATGGAGAGATAAATGAGGAAGAATTTTTGAGAATGATGAAAAGGACCACTCTTTATTAATACTTTTTTTTATTCCTTCTGGAAAGTTGTTAACAACTTCGTATTTGCTATATGGTTCTATCATATCTGATGTATTTTCAATTTTTAGTTTATATGCACAGATTGGTCTCTTGATGTCTAATCCATGTGAGAAGTTTCATGTTTCTACCAATCTTTTGTTAAATCCATAGCATCAAGAAACAAAATGTAATGATTTCTGTGAACCATGGATCCCAAACCAGTATTAATTCCAACTGCTACTTTTAGAGCTCTAGGGTCTAAAGACTTAGAATTTTTTTAAGTTTAATGAAACTGACCCCACATCCAAATGAATTTTGCAAACCAATTAATTTCCCTATTATTTTCCTTTTGTGCAACTCTTTAAATCTGATAAATATTTGCTTTTTAATCAGTTATTCAGATATGTTAAGTATTAAATAAAATTGCCTAGCACTATATTATTTGCTACTTTTTCTCTTATAAAGAAATTCAAAGCAGCACTGTACTATGTAGATTTTCCTATAAGTTTGACCCCTCACGTGAGCATTTAATACCTCTGCATGGGAGGTGCTAGGGATTTTACACATGTTATCTCAGTGTTACAACTTAGAAGCTGGTAGTATTAGCTCCATTTTACTACATAGGAGAAAACTAAAGTTCAGAGAACTTAAAAATTGCCCAGTTGTTCATAGATAATAAATAAAACATGGATAAATCTTGGATCGTTGTGCTTCACTATGCAGCTTCCCTATAGAAAACAAAAATCTCAGGATAACTTAAATGTATATTTTCTAACTCATTTAATATTATGACTCTTGTAATTTAACTTTGTTTTTGTTTTGTTTTGTTTTGTTTTTTTATGAAAGAACCAAACTGTTGGGAAAGGCAGTCTCAAGATACAGTCTTTTGATCTCCCACTGGTTCACACAAGACTGGGCCTTGGGCCTGGAACACTTCCTTACCGAGAGTGTCTCTACAGCTTATGCTGGAATTTTCTGTGAATATCTTTCCATTTCAGACTCCATGTGTACTTTTTTTGCTTAAAGATGTGTATAATATGGTTCCTGTGTGTGTGTGTGTGTGTGTGTGTGTGTGTGTGTGTGTAATATGGCACCTGGCAAACCCCACTTTGGAAACGGGATGTCCCCTTCAAAGAGGGTGAGGTCCTGATGGCTATTTACAGGACACTTGCCCTATATTGGCTTCTGGGAGGGACCTGCTGGCCATGGGAAACCTACATTCACTACCGAAACTGATACTGCTCTGTCTCTTCCCTATATGAGTAAAACATTGTTCCAACCAGTAGTTGACTGTATTGTTTCTTCCTTGGCAATTAAACTGATAGCAAGATTCAGTGGAAGAAGCCCTCAGGTTTCTGCCCCTGATAATAGGCAACAGATGCCACTTGCTGGGATACAAACTCTTCCAAAGTAATGGTCCTTGGAGCAAGAAAGGATTATAGAAAATGTAACTTTTTGCCCCACCTAGTACATTTTTAGCTCAACTGAAAGGAAGACTCAAGGTTTGTCAACAGGGGAAGTTTTTTTTCTTTGCTTTTCAGTTGAAACTAGAATGGCATATGTGCTTATGCTCAAGTGTTTCACAGTATCTTTAATTCCTAATTATGCAGCATTTCCTTCTAGGCTAAGATATAACTATTAAACATGCTTCATATGTGAAAATTACGACCTTTAAGTTGTTAAATGATTTATATTTTTAAGTGGGTTGTATGCTTAAAAATACACCTGATCAAGGTCAAAGAGTTCTGAATAGAAATCCCCTCATTCAATCCCAGTTCTCCCCAGGACAGAATGTCCTTTATCACTACCTCTATTTAACATTATACAGAAGTGCTAGCCAGTACATTAAGGCAAGAAACAGAAAAAAGAGACCAGAAAGGAAGAAATAAAATTCTTTTTATTTGCAAATGACACCATATATACATATTATATACATATTATATATATATATATATATATATGGAATAGCCCAAAGAATTAAAAGATTCCTGGATGCAAAGTTGTTGCACATACTAATATAAGCACAATTCTATTTTTACAAACCAGGTATGAGTAATTAGAAAATGAAATTTAAAAGACTACTAATAGTATTAAAAATATAAAAAACTTATAACTGAATCTAATGAAGATATACAGGTCTTCAACATCAAAAACTAGAAGAGTACTAAGAAAAAAAGACTGGGGCGCCTGGGTGGCTCAGTGGGTTAAAGCCTCTGCCTTCAGCTCGGGTCATGATCCCGGGGTCCTGGGATCAAGCCCCGCATCGGGCTCTCTGCTCAGCGAGGAGCCTGCTTCTCCCTCTCTCTCTGCCTGCCTCTCTGCCTACTCATGATCTCTGTTTGTGAAATAAATAAATAAATCTTTAAAAAAAAAAAAAGACCTAAATAAATGGAGGAATATTATGTTCATGGATTGGAAAACTGAATATTATAGAGATGTCAATTCTCCTTTTATTAATCTATAGCTTATAGTGCAATAAAAATCCTAGCTTATGTGAAACTTGACAAACCTATTCTAAAATTTATATGGAAATCCGAGGGACCAATACAGACTCGAACAAAGTTAGAGGCCAGCTTGCCTGACTATCAAGATTTATTATAGTGTCATAGCAATTATAATAGTGTGGTTTTAACTGGGATAGATTAATGGGCCAATGGAATAGGACAGAAAGTCCTGAAACAGATATATATATAGAGATATATATATCTCTATATATATATGGCCATTGATTTAGGATACAAGTAACTGCATAGTAGAGGAGACATTTTCATTATAATAAATTGTTCCAAATCAATAGGATATCCGAAAAGAATAAAATAAAACATGACAATAAAAGAAAACACTGATACTATACATAAAAAGTAATTCTAAATTATTGTTAAGACATGAAAGGCAAGAATATATGATCATTACCTTGAGATCAGATTCCTAATTAGGAAACAAAAACCACTAACATTAAAGGAAAACGTTGATAAATTGTACTATAAAAACTTCTCTTCATAAAAGGAGAGAATGAAGACATAAGGTACTAAGTGGAAAAAGATACTTTCAATAAATCTACCTGACTTAATACTTGTATGTAGAACATATAACTTTTAAAAATCTGTAAGAAAAAACCCATTTTTTAAAAGTGAGCAAAAGGCTAGAGTAGCCACTTGATAGAAAAGGATATGATAATGGTAAAAAATATATGAAAAATTAATCAAAATAAAGAATGGAGTAGGCTAAATAATGGCCTCCAAAAAGTTCCATGTTCTAATCCCTGAAACCCATGAATGTAGGATGACAAAAAACAACACACACACACACAACCAAAAAACAAGTTTGCATTATGATCAAATTAAAGACTATGAGTTAGATTTTCTGGATTATCTAATGAGCACTAAACATTACCACAAGTAAAGAGAGGCAGAAGGACAATTGACACATGAAGGAGAGGGTAATCATGGAAGCAGAAAATATTTTTGCTAGAATGGCATGGATGGGCATGAACTTCAGTGTTTCACAGTAGTTTTAATTCCTAATTATGTAGCATTTCCTTCTAGACTGAAGAAAAATATAATTACTAAAAATATGATGAAGCAATGTGCTTATAAGCCAAGGAATGCTGGCAGCTGTCAGGAGCCAGAAGAATTAAAGAATAAGCTTCAGGATGGGGCGCCTGGGTGGCTCAGTGGGTTAAAGCCTCTGCCTTCGGCTCGGGTCATGATCCCAGGGTCCAGCCCCACATCGGGCTCTCTGCTCAACGGGCAGCCTGCTTCCCTTCCTCTCTCTCTGCCTGCCTCTCTGCCTACTTGTGTCTACTACTACTGTCTGTCCAATGGATAAATAAAATCTTTAAAAAAAAAATAAGCTTCAGGAAGGACTGTATCCTGACTGACACCTTGATTTGGGCCCAGTAAAACTGATTTTGAAATTCTGGACTCCAGACTATGAGAGAATAAATTTCTGTTGTTTTAAGACACCAAGTTTGTGATCATTTATTATAGCAGTCACAAAAAATTAATACAAGGGCAATACAAGTCAATATCATCCTGAGATAGCACTATAATTCCAGCAGAATGGATAAAACTAAAATAATAATTCAGAGTGTTGATAAGAATGTGAAACAATGGAAATTCTCAACTACTGTCGTACATTGCTTCAACAGTTTTGAAAACAGTTGGCATACAAAATTAGCAAGACAGGAAAAAACGTGTGTTGGAGAGGATGTGGAGAAAGGGGAACCCTTTTACACTGTTGGTGGGAATGCAAGTTGGTGCAGCCATTTTGGAGAACAGTGTGGAGATTCCTCAAGAAACTAAAAATAGAGCTTCCCTATGACCCTGCAATTGCACTACTGGGTATTTACCCCAAAGATACAGATGTAGTGAAAAGAAGGGCCATCTGTACCCCAATGTTTATAGCAGCAATGGCCACTGTTGCCAAACTGTGGAAAGAACCAAGATGCCCCTTCACGGATGAATGGATAAGGAAGATGTGGTCCATATACACTATGGAGTATTATGCCTCCATCAGAAAAGATGAATACCCAACTTTTGTAGCAACATGGACGGGACTAGAAGAGATTATGCTGAGTGAAATAAGTCAAGCAGAGAGAGTCAATTATCTTATGGTTTCACTTATTTGTGGAGCATAACAAATAACATGGAGGACATGGGGAGATGGAGAGGAGAAGGAAGTTGAGGGAAATTGGAAGGGGAGGTGAACCATGAGAGACTATGGACTCTGAAAAACAACCTGAGGGTTTTGAAGGGGCGGGGGGTGGGTGGGAGGTTGGGAGAGCCAGGTGGTGGGTATTAAGGAGGGCACGTATTGCATGGAGCATTGGGTGTGGTGCAAAAACAATGAATACTGTTATGCTGAAAAGAAATAAAAAAAAAAAATCTCACAAGTAAACTGCAAAAAAAAAAAAGTTGGCATGATTCAATAAAGATGAACATATGCATATTTCATGACCAGCATGTATTTCTACATATGTACCCAACAGAAATATGTGCACATGTGTGTCATGAGATGTACAAAAAATATTCCATGGCAACAATATACATGAGTCAAAACCTGAAAACACTCTAAATGTTCATCAACAACAAAATGTATAATTATTATATTTACATAATATAATGCATCTAGGAATGAAAAAAATTCACCTACATACAGCCACACGGATGAACTGCAAACATAGCGTTGACTGAAAGCAACCAAGAAGAAAATATATGTTCTGAAGTGATGCCATTTGTATAAAGTTTAAAACCAGGCATACCTAAACTGTAGAGTTAGAAGTCATGATAGTGATAAAAGGGAGAAAGGAGGAGGAGGAGGGGGTTTGAAGGGTATTTCTGAAGTCTTTGCATCTTTGTATATCTTGGCTACCTAAGTGTTTACATTGTCTTAACCCCTTGAGCTGTTTACTTGGCTTGTCCATTTGTGTATTGTACTTCAATAAGAAAAAGTTTTAAAAATTACTCATGTCCACATTGCTGGGCATCGTGATTTTGTGTCATGTACACTAGCAATGTAGAGATAGTCCCAGGGTAAGGAAATTTGATCAGCCAACACACTGACATATTAGAGAGGGCTGCCAAACATTCAGTTGCCAACAGCACCTAGTGGATCTTCATTTGTTCTCCACTCCTTATTAATTATCAGAGCCAATACTGGAAAGAAACAATGTCTGTAATGAATA